CTACAGGAAGAAACGATTTAACAATAAAACTAATGTTACATAGTCTTTTCTTCTTTTGAAGGGGGTTCTAAATTCTTTAAGCATCTATTTTTCAAGTCCTTTATTTTACCTAAGCAGTAGATTTGCAGTTTCTTGTAAAACTTCATGGATAGCATAACGGCACAATTTCTAAAGACACCATCTGTCCCACAAGGCACATTCAGAAGGGTGAAAATTTTCTATTGGGTCATCTAAACTATAGCAAAAGAAAACCTTCAGACCTGTATGTTGTGAGTGAATGTACAAGTCTGAAGGTTTTCTTCTGGTATAGTTTAGATGACCCAATAGAAAATTTTCACTCTTCTTAAAGTAAGTTAGATGCCTTTCTTTGAAGCCCTCTATTTACATGTGGCATTTTAACCTTACTCAAGGCTCTTATAAAGGGTTCTGTGGGATTACTGTTCCTTGATGACATTTGAGTTTCTTTTAAGATTCCTGTAGCTTGATTTTGTGATAGTCATCCTTAATATCAAGTTTCAGATTCCCATTTACAGAGGCCATCTTGTAAGTATTGCCTACAATCACGTTCTCTAAGGCATTTTGTTCAGGACAAAACAGTATTTTGCTTCACAGTGAAAATGTTTAAATAAGATAAAGAGATCATTTTGTCTATGTCAGAGAGAAAAATGATATGATATGTAACACATGGCAGGTATTAAACAAAAAACTTTAAATTTACAGTTCATTAATTTAAAATGAACTTTAAATTTACAGTTCATTTTACCACTGATTTTCAAATAAAACTGGATTGTGAAAAAATCCAATTCTACATGATATATTCAGTGATTCTTTATGGGTGGAAGAGGTAAAAAAAAAAAAAAAGTAGTGTCCCCTTCTGGTACAGTACGCATATCTCAAATATAAAGTGATTACTATTAAGCAAATAGCTTGACTCTCAAATTTAATATTATGAACGTACACCTTTTAAAAATTTGATAATTGAGGTCCCGAAAGTAAATTGTTCATCTCACAAGAAAAACCGACACAGTAAGTTACTTCTGAGCAGATAATAAGTTTACATCATCCTCAAGCTATGAACAAAAATCTTAACTATGATAATTACATAATGTGAAAATGCTTATTTATAAGCACTCAAAGTGTTTTATTCATTAATCTGGAGAAAATGTCTGTAGTATGCATGCTTAAATTGATCAGGAACAAGAGCAAAAACTTTTGGTTTTTTTGCAGAAAGAATGGGGCTTGGGCTAAATGATTTCAGCTTTTACTAGTGTTAAATTTCAATAATTAAGAAAAGGTATTGTTCCAGTTTCCCAATCCACAGTTTACAACAGATTCTCCCTTTGCTGTCTTTTGAAGAGAAGCATAGCTCTCTACATGCCAGCATGAGAGGCACCTCTCATCTCTCCAATATTACTTTTATGTGAAGAGCATACAGTGAATAAACTGCTTTATTATGAGTGAGAACATTCATCAAACAGTGTAGCTGGTAAGTACACATCTTCTTAAGGTTAGGAGATCTAATCCTTTAAAATATATTGTCTCATTAGATCTCTCTACCACTCTCCAGTTCAAATCCAAATCAATTCCAAATTCATCCTGTCAGTTTCAGAAATAAACCTCTTAAAAGTACATCGTTGCTCTGGACCAAATGATGTTCTGGCTGACCTGGATCATGAGTATCCTGCAATATGTCTATTTCCCACAAGTAGCCAGAGGGATTGTTCTAAAATGCAAGTTTAATTCTGTTGTCTCCTTCCTAGCTCGCCTGCAGACAGTGGGCGTCATTATTAATAGTCCAGTGGGTGTCATTATTCTTAGAGGAGTCCGTGGCCTACCTACTCTTGCAGTCTCATCTTGTACCTTGTCCCCACAATTCTCAGTGCTCCAGCTCTTCTCATTTTCTTAGTCTTTCCATTTGCCACACCATAGCCCTTTCTTCCAAATCATTTGTTTGTAATGACTACTTCCAAGGTCAGGTATACTTCCCCCCTTCCCCTGGTTTTATCTCACTGATGCTATAGGACATTTCAGCCATCAGTTCATCAATGTACTTTGTAATCTTAAAAAAGAGAGAATAAATTTTTATCTCTTCATAGACCTGTGGTTGGTCAGTACTCGTCACAGTCATCATTTTATAGTCTGACTGTCTGACTGATGCTGCCCTCCCATTAAAATGGACACATCTGTTAAGAATATCCACTTTTGCTTTAAACTCTGCTCATGGCTTCAGACATGCCAGGCACAGACATAAATATGCTCAGGAAAGGTCTCACAGGTAAGTATATGCCCGAATAAAGATAGCTGCAATTATGACCATCTTAGTGTATAAAAGTCACATGAAGAATTCTATTGTTCACAGGCATTTTGCAATGCCCAAGCACAGGTTGTCTTGAAAATGCTTCCCCTCCCATCCCCCGCATAATCATAACCAGTACAAAGAAGTCAGCACATGAAATACATCTTTAAAGAAAAAACTGTACTAGTTTTACGGAAAAAAGAAAAAGTCAACATTTACGTAGAGCTGTTGGGGGGGGGGGAATATAGTTTTTGTTCATTCCATGGAACAAAAAGTGTATGAATCTACACAAAAAGATGCCAAGCTCAAAATAGAAAAAAAGTCATGACACCAAAATTACTTGTTTAAATGTAGAGAGCAAAGAATGACCAAATTTATAGCAAGACCAGCAGAATTCATTTTCTGTGTAGTGAAACAACTACTACTGTATTGGAAAAAAAACTTAAAACTGGACTTAATAAATAATATCAAATATTACTAACCTCATCCTTCTGTTTTTATAGTACTTATTTCAAATGGTTAACAAAAAAATTTACCAGCAACTTTTTAAAAGATAACATATTCAAGTAATCCAAATTCAGCAACTCTAAAATACACTGAAAACTAAGTACACAGGTTTTTATGAAGTTTCAGAATAAGCAATGAACACTATTTTTAGAAGATATGTCATTGAAACACAAGTGTGGAAAACAGATCCAGAGAATATAAACATTAGTATAAAACACTAACAATTAGTATAAAATTCAAAAGTTCTAAAAGTGAAAGGAGATATGTGACATCAATACTAAGTTTTATGCTAATTAAAGAATTTAAAATCTTTCTTACTAAAATTCTGTGTAATCATGTTTGTGTGAGTGCAAAGAAATCAAGATAGATTTGAAAATCTATAGCAGAAATTAACTTTGTATTGTTTTCCTGTAACTGATATAGTGGAGGAGGGAGGGGGAGTTGTTTTTCTCTATATACTTCATGTCCCTAATTCAGTATTTCATTGTACCTGGTTGAAACACATGAATAAGAATATGAATCAGTGTGCATCTCAGTCCAAATCATAGGACAGGTAAAGAACACTGGTTAGGAAGGAGAAACTCTGTATTGAGATATATGCTACAGCACAATAGGCCACATGCCTATTGTAGGTGTAACAGAGAACACCAAGACAGGGAGGTAAGAAGTGTATAAAGGTGGGACTATCCCACACATGACTATTAACACACCTAAATTGTTCTGATGCCTAAATACAAAATGTCTGCTGACTTTTTTTGTTTACTTGTGACATTTAAAAATCTTATTTAAATATCATAGAAGATAAGATGTTTCATTTTATGTTTTATATTTAAAACATGTATAATTCATCTATTAATTTTCTTCAAATTAAAGAATAGGGTCAGAGATAAAATAATAATTGAGGTAAAAATACACTCCTTAATGTATATTAGAACTGATTTTTCTCTCTAGAAATTAATTCCTTACTCGGGAATTTGAAGGTATCAGTTTCTGTAGTTATATTCTGCTTTTAACATTTTCCTTTCTACTTTAGGAAGGAAATAAATGGTAAAATCTTTCAAAATGCAATATATCATAATGTCTCTACTTTTAGAGTTGTACTTATAGCTTTCCCTGTCTAAGAGAATATATTCATGTATCTTGTTCTAAATTGCCTAGCCAGATTTTTGCCAGCACAATAAAAGTAAATACAATGATAATGAAATAGACCAACGAAACTTAGCATGGTTAATTCGGTCTTTAGTGCAATTCACATAATCCCTACTGTTAAAAACCACAAATCCATTAGAGCAAGAACAAGGTTAAAAAAACATGCATGGAGTAATCACGAAAGTACATTAGAATTAAGAATCCTCACAAATTCAATTATAGATTTCCCCCTTCACAAAATGAAACAACTCTATTTAAGCATACCAGTGATAATAAATATTCACAGAATAATGAAAATGGTGATGACATCAACAGTGATGATCTACTGGGGCACTTAACTTGTACTAGATGCCAAATATTTCATATTTAAGCCTGATGAAAATTCTAACAGCAAACTACTATTATTAATCCCCATTTATAAATTACTAGTAAAGAGGCTGAATGGTGGCAAGGCTGGGATTCAAATGAATTCTAAGTCTAAAGCTTTCAACTACTTGTTGTGGGGATAAAATATGATTAATGGTTGGAATTTAGAAAAAGTTATTGGAAGAATTTTAAAATAAATTTTGAATGCATTTTATCTATTTCAATACTGTAACCACATGTGTATTAAAGTTGCAGAGAATATTTCATCTTTTAAAAACACTTGACTTTAATACCATTACACTAACAAATTTTTGAACTATTTCCCTAGATGTTGCAACTAAAATTATTTTACAGCATGTTAGCTTGATCTGCTCTACAAGTACACTGTCCAAACTTTGTTATTTTTACCATAACACAAAAGATTTCTTTCCTTCCTTTCTTTTTAAATAGTCAGAACTCTAAAGTCAGAAACAGTAAATAAATTTATAATTCAATTATAGCAGATTTTGCCTAAATCTATAGTTTTGATTCCAAAAATATAACTGTATGACAATATGTCATTTAGTATTATTTTTAAGATTCTGTAACATAGATTTGTTAGAGGAAGTACATTGAAGTTTGTACAAAGATCTAAAATAATGTATATTACTTGTTTGCCTGAAATCCTGCTATATAAACATACCTTGGCAAAAAATACGGTGAGGTGAGTTTCACTGCCAACAATCCAAATAGGGAATTTTGGAGATTTCAAGTAAGAACCAACCTAGAACAAATGTAGCAAAATAAATAAATGAAAATTAAAAAAAAAAAAAACAACAACTGCCTGTTACTAGCATTTGCCCACAAATATTTATAGTATAAAGTGTCTCATTCATATTTCAGTGGGATAATGTATTGTGCCAGAATGTGCCTTATCCATAAAGGTCAAATGCTGAACGTAAAAACGAATGTTACATAAAGACTGATAGAGCTAAACTTATATCATACTTTTAGATAAAAACAACAGTAATATAGAGTTAACACAATTAGAGATAATGAAGTTCTACCACTCATTCTTAGGTTTTGCTAAGATCCTAGATAGTTATCATATCTAGAATTTCAGCTTGTTGATATTATGAATTAACAAATGAATAGGTTTATGATTAAATAAAAAGGGGAAATGTAAGTCTTAAGAAATTCTGTTTTGAAAATATATAGGGCAACATTATAATCTCAAAATATAAATAATAGCTCAAGAGAAATATATTTGACTTTTCATTATGGAATTAAAGGTTTCACAATATGATCTCTTTAAAAGTGTATGACAAGTCTTGTTTATATCCTGCTTTCAGGCAGGCTTTTCATTAGGGAATTAAACTTTTCATTAGGGAATTTGACTTTTCATTAGGGAATTAAAGGTTTCACAGTATCTCTTTAAGGTGTATGAAAAGTCTTGTTGATAGCCTGCTTTCAAGGTTATTTAATATATATAAAAAATATACTACCTAATTAATTGTATCATTTTGTGTGTATAACTGAGAAAAGGCTTAAAATTCAACAAATAAAAAATAAATTTGTATGGGCCCTCTCTGGTGGCACAGCAGATTAAAGCACAGCACTAAGAAGCTAAAGCCACTTCACCATGAGTTCAACCCCCATCCCGGAGGTGACCCACATGGTGAGGCAGACCTCTCCTGACCCTCCCGCTACTCCCCTCAGCAGTATACTTCCCCACTCTGTCTTGTGAACCCTCTCATTGCTCCTGCACCTGTGGCCTGTACCCCATGCATCAATAAATAAATCTTAAAAAATTTGTGAAATCTACTTACATACACAACAATCAATTCCACACTTTGATAGGATCTGATTTGACTTAAAAACAAGTAACTTAACCAATCCAATTCACTGAATTTTCTTTTCTTATATTGCCTGTAATTGGGAAGGTCCAACAGACTACATGCATCAGTCAGGGTCAATTTTTCTCTATTCTGTCAGTACCCCTGGGATGGTGTCCTGCTTTCAGCTACTACTGTGACCTTTTAGAGTTTACTCTTATGAGGGAAGTAAAAAAAATAGAGACCTTTTGAATTAATGTCTAAAGTGTCTAATAATGTTGTCCATAATGGGAGGGACAAGTTGCAGGTGTGAAAGGCAACGGTAAAGCACTGGAGTGGGGAGGATGGTTTGGGGACAGCAGAAGAATAAAATCAGAAGAGCAAAGGAAAGGAAAAGCTCTAATGACAGGTCCATAATAGGAGATCTCAGAGGTGTATGTGCTGGGCAAGTCCTTTAATTTTACTGATATATAAAGAAACCGAGAAAAATGGGATACATGGATAGGTGCCATGTCTAAATTCAAGACTTTAACTAATACAGAGTTGGAATTAAAACTCATGTTGTCTCAGGTGAGAAAATAATAAGAATAATGAACAGCCATATACCAGAGACATTTTATGGGGGTGGAGTGGGGAATGGGATAAAAAACGGGGGGGGGGGAGTGCACGGGACTATGGTGATGGCACACGGGTGACTTGGTGATGGGAAACCCGTGAAGATTACAATTGAGATGGAAAAAAAAATGTACAAAAATGATGTAAAATTAAACTGTTAATAAAAAAAAACCTCATGTTGTCTGACTCCTGATCTGGGGGCTTTCCATTACATCATGTTGTTTCCTGTTGGTAAAAATTTAGATGTTGTTTACTTATCTTTCAGAAAATGTGTGTGCTGTATATATTTAAATTAAGTTAGAAGTAAAATACAAAGACATGATTACATAAAGATCAGAAAGTTAATGAATGCTAAAATCATAAAATGTTTCATAATCAATAAAATTAAGATCATAGACAAATAGTGGGATTTGGTCTGGAGTTTGAAGGAGTGCTGCCAATATTTGACCAAGCAATTTTCACTCTTGGATGTATAGCCAAGAGAAATGAGCACACCTTTGCAAAAAACTGATATTCTTCAATGCAATATTTAATAATATTTAACAACCCTAAAATCCAGCCACTGATGAATAAACAGAACTGATATATAACAAAATATTACTGATCATAAAAAGGCACAAAATACTAATATATATTACAACATGGAGGAGCAAAGTAAACATTATGCTAAGTGAAAGGAACCAAATTTAAAAGGCCACATATTGCATGGTTCCATATCTACAAAATATCCACAATAAAAAAATAAGATGACATTATGTTTCCAGGAGCTAGGGAGCAAAAGCAAAGTGGCTAGTAGTGGTTTTAGAGGATCTTTTTTTTTGGGGGGGGGGGCAGGAAAATAGTTAAAAATTAACAGCGGTGATAGCTGTAGTCATGTAAATATATAAAAACCACTGCAACAGATACCTAAAACATGGTGAATTTTATGGCATGTGAGCTATACATTTTTTTAAAAGCAGATGGAGGTTATATTTGTATTTGAACACACATTAAGGTCAAAATGATAGACATTTTCACTTCTAAAGGGCAATCTGCCACACTATCAAAGATTATAGAAAGTTGGGACTTAGAAAACACACACAGTTATTTCCGTGGCACAACATGTGGCAAAGTGTTGTTTCCTGAGAAAGTGTCAACAGCTGTATATAAGTGAACAGCATGGAACAGCACATGCAACCTCAACTCAGTAGAGGCTTTTCAAGTCCCTTAAAACAAAAACAACTGCTCAGGTCCACACCACCCCCACTTTTCTTCTTTGGTCTCCTGCACCCCAGACCGCTTTGCACTGCCCCAAGCTACTGGCATGTAGGCACAGCCCCTCTATCCAGGAGCCTGTAGAGTATCTAAATCAGCCAATCCAGAGTTTGCTCACAGCTAACTGCACCCCAACCCCTATCCACAAGCTGCCTGACAAGTGGCGACAACTGGCGATTGCTGTTGCCCTGAAACCTTTGTGTGGCCTTGCCTGGTAACCTTCTCTGGCCTGGAGCTGTAACTAACAGAAAGTTCAGTCTTATCTATTGGTATATTTATTTCTCTATTACATCCTTAAATTTTACAAAACACCACAGTCACTGCTAAAAATATCAGAGCAATCTGAAAGCAGGAAAATGTACACCAGTTCCCGATTTCCCACTAACACCTTGTGGGGCCTGGGATGGGGGCACAGACATTCTTCTGTTCTACCTACAGTTAAAGAAAATACTTATTCTACATGTATTTTTTGAATATACATTTATGCATGCAAGAACTGGGGTGTAAGTCAGAGGTGTGAAGGACAGGAACGTGGGGCAGGGATGAGAGGATTCATCAGTGGTAGAGCAAATTCTAAATTTTCTAAAAGCTTACAAGTTTAGTGAATTTCCTCTTTAACAAGTACTTACTGTGAGAATCTAATAGGTAGGTACCCAAGAGCGACACTGTACTTATTTTCAAAGGGTCTATATTCCATTAGGGGTGACCAGTGGAATTCAAGATTGGAAAATGATAAATACGTAAACCAAAAAAGATCACTACAGAGTGATTATCCCTGTGAAATGTGGAAATTCACTGAGGGAATTTTCAAGGAAAAGATCCTTGAGGAACCATCTGAAAGAGTAGCCAACCATGACAGAACTGTAACAGAGCAGCCAGAAATGGCAGCAAGTAGGAGAGCCTCTCAGGCAGGAAGGGGCTTGGTGTATCTGAGAAACAAAACAGAAGCCCAGTGTGGTTGGAGATAACAATGGCAGGACCAAGGCAACAGCAAGGCCAGAGGATTCTAGATACTCAGAGAGTATCTACAGGTGCACAGTGAAGATTTCAAAGTGTATAAACTCCACACCCTATCTAACTTTCCTCTTGTATAAAACACATCCATACTTGAAGTTGCTTTACCTGAAATATCTTTGACATATAAAAACTGTATTTAAGTATAATATCTTAAATATAAATGAACACTACTGTGAAAAGATCACCACAATCAAGCTAATTAACACATCCATTACTTCTACATAGTTACCTTCTTTACATGTCATAAAACACACAATTTGAGGATATTAGTGTGTGTGTGTGTGTGTGTGCGTGCGTGTGTGCTGTGGAAAGGGAAAATAGCTTATGGCGACAAGCTGTTTCAGCCTACTTCAGCTTGTATCATTAAAGTCATTGTATATACAAGAAGTGCTATTTTTGAACGATATTACTGCTGTAGGATGGAACCTCTTTGATCATTATAACAACGTTACCCCATCCTCATGTGGTCATGAACAAGGAACTTTGCCTGGTAAGAAAAGGTGGCAAGATGTTGTTCCTCAGTAGAAGTAATTACTGCTAATACTAGAATCATTACTTTGGAAACATTCTAACTGAGGGGGGGGGAAATTGTATCTACTTCTTTCTCCCAAATCAGAACATCTTAAGGGCAAATTACTAATGATTTTAACCTCACTTAAAGCTATGTGAATATCCAGTAGTTATTTCAGTTTGTGTAGGGAAGAAATGAGATATGTATTAAAATATATCATGGCAGTTCTTGTCCTAGCACACATGCTAAAGAGTTTAGGGTTGGGATGCTTGGAATTTTTTTTTTTTTTAGTGTGAAATAATTTTTCAGATGTAAAATTTCAGGCATTTAGAAATTCTTTTTCTTTGCTCATAATGGCTTACTTGTTGTTTCAATGAAAAATATGGTTAGAGAGGAAGAAACAATATATTCTTTTCCTGCTGTTTACCAGATAAATTTATACTCAGTAATAGATTTCTCTATTTTTATAAATTACTCATACAGGGTTTGTCTGCCTCCCATTCCTCAAAAAATGAACAAACCTAAAAATTAGGAAACTCCACATATTCATCCAGCTAAATGCTATCCTTAGTAAGATTCAATTTAGGAAGCGATATAACAGAAGGAATTACACTATCTAATACATATTGTCACAGAAGAAAACTTATGTATAATCATGGATATCTGAACAAAAAAACATTTAAAGTACTTTAATTCAACTTACCTTACAGTATCTTAAAGCTTCCATTAATGTTAAGAATCCTACTGCTGCTTGTTCATGTATTCCAAGAAGCTCTACAACAGTACTTTAATTCAACTTACCTTACAGTATCTTAAAGCTTCCATTAATGTTAAGAATCCTACTGCTGCTTGTTCATGTATTCCAAGAAGCTCTACAACAGTAAGTTAGCATTGCATTAGTATACAAAAACCTGAAAAGTACTTACGTGTGTGTATGTATACACACACACACACATTTCTACCAAAACTTTTATTCAAAAGTCTATTTTAAAACCTAGCACTATGTACTGTTAACAATTTATATCAGGGCCCTCCCTGGTAGCACAGTGGATTAAGCTCAGCATTATGAAACTGTCTGCAGCCACTGCAGCATGAGTTCAATCCCCAGCCTGGGAGGTGACCCACATGGAACAGCAGACCTCTCCTGTCCCAACTGTTCTGCTCCCCACTCTGTCCCTGGTGAATCCTCTCACGACGCCTGTACCTCTATGCATAATACCCCAGTTCTATATGCATAAACAAAAATCTTGTTTTTTAAAAGAATTTACATCATTATTAATATAATTCTACTCATAAAATAGCATTATATTAGGTTCATGGTCGGTAACATGATACTTCAGACACATTTATCTAGAAAACTTTATATTAAAAAGTAGCAGTATTTATTTTTTAAGATTATTTATGCATACAAGAACTGGGATGCAGGCAAGAGGTGCATCCTTTAAGAGGGGAAGTGGGAGGGGAGAATGAGAGAATTCTCTGGAGACAGAGTAGGGAGCAGAACAGGCAGATCAACAAATATACTGCTGAGGGGAGCAGCAGGTGAGATGAGAGGTCTGTTGCGCCATATAGGTCACCTCCCTGGCTGGAATCAAAGACATGCTGCAGTAGCTGTGAAAACTTCACTGTGCTGAAACGTGAGCCTTATATGATTAGGGAGGCCCTTAAAAGTAACAATTCGAAGTATTTACTGGACAATAGAACAAAACATTTAATAATATCCATGAAAACTGAAATAAATGGATATGTGAATCACAGTTTGTAAAATTTATCATTGGGCAGCGGTATACCTACTTGTATAACACTTAAAAAATGGACTATTGGTATTATCCCTCTCTCACATAAACACAGACACAAATATCTGTGCAACACCTGATAGCCATAGGGAAGATTTATTTCCTGAACGCCGACAACCCACAGAAACGCTAAGGTAAAAAGAGACCAAGTAGCTTGCGAGGTGGGAGTGGGAAAGGTAAGGAAGACATTGAGCTGTTCCTCTTCAGGAGAAATAAAGATGGGAAATAGATGAACGGATGAATAGAACACAGCATCTCCCTTACAAAGGCTGACAGTTTATCATGGGACACAGATGAAAAATGTGTGGTCTGTTTACACTTACAGACACAAACACTTAAATGCTAATGCGGTCACAAATTGTATCTTATTATTAAATAAGAGCACCTGCTTACTCTGTTAGGAGATAACAGCAGTTAACATTTGAGATGATTTAAAGCAAGTATAGGAAATTTTCCAGAAAAAGAAGTATAGGGAAAAAAATTAAAGAGAAGGAAACAGCAAAACATATGTAAAATCAAAATAAGGGATAAAGATTTTATTCCTTAATGATTTCCAGATTCCGGGAGAATCTGACAAATCAAAATTAACTAGAATAAAAAACTAAGAAGTTACGAAGTGGTTTGGTAAGAGGCCATAAGTTCAGTTTAGGCGAGGTAGAATGTAAGTACCTTCACAGTTTCTAGCTAGAGATTGCTATGCACCTGGAAGTAGGGCCCAGAAACAGATGTGAAGAGAAAGTAGAGACCTATGGGAATAATCCACATAATGGTTGGGAGCTGAAGTCACAGATATGAATAAGATGAAGCATAGAGAACGAGAATGAAAAATGATTATTTCACAATAGAGATATAATTATGGTAACTGCCTTTTATAGACTTTACTTTATATTAAACAGAACTGTAATAAAAATTTGGTTTAATTTACATTTAAAAATATTTATTTATTTATGCATAAAAGAGCTGTGGTACAGGCCACAGATGCAGAAGGTGAGAGAATTCACTGGAGACAGAGTAGGGTGCAGAACAGGCAGCTTTACTGAAACATACTGCTGAGGGGAGCAGCGTAGAGACAGAAGAGAGGTCTGTTGTACCACGTGGGTCACCTCCCTGGCTAGGGATAGAACTTGGCACTCTAGTGGCTGCAGATAGCTTCATATTGCTGGGTCTTAACCATTTGAAACACCAGGAAGGTCCTAGTTTGTTTGTTTTAAATTAAACTATATTAACAAGTAGTAGGCAATACTGTTGCTTTAAAATGAATACATGTGTTAAAATTTCTCAGCCTAATTTCTTACAAGAAAAATATTGATTATGATTTGCTCAAAACCCATGTCAGCCAACACTCTTTGGGTTTCTCACAAACTTCAAAAATGTTTAAGAGGATGGGATCAAAAACTTTGAGACTCATTAGGTTATAACACTGAAAGGAAAAAAGGTAGTGGGAGAACAGCCTACTGTTCCCACTCACCATACGTAGAAATGGTACTCAATCTCACAAATTTTTCCTTTTTCTCATGAAATATAAGCATTTTAAATGTTTTCATGTTCAAAGAAACCTAAGTTGACACATATTTTCTGAATTCATTTACCACCACCTAGTGTTATAATTAGATACTACATCATTATTTCCTTGCAATTTTAAAACATTTAAATTGTATAGTACACTATCACAATACAGCAAATTAGTTACTTTTGGAAAATGAATTATTCAGATGAGATCAGTAATCACGTTTAGACATTTGTTTGGGTAGTAACATAAAAAATTCCATCTATTTCCTTAAATGAAATATACCAATATTTTCACCTTCTTTTGATAAAGTGCATCATTAAAAACACATACCATTGCACAAGTTGTACTTATTGAAGATATAATATTCTTTTTAAAACAGATTATTTTACTTACTTATGCATACAAGAGGTGGGGTATAGGCCCATCTCTTACATCCCCTATAGGTGTAGGGGATGAGAAGATTCACCAGAGACAGAGTGGGGCATTTTAAAGATCCCTTTGAGACTTTTAATTTTGTTACTCCTACAATTCATTAGCAAATAACTCAAGATTAGGCAAATTAGGCCTTCTTGGAGGCACAAGGGGTTATGTTTGCAGCATGAGTTGGATCACTGGCCAGGGAGGCGACCCCTATGGCACAGCAGTCCTTGCCTGTCTAGCCTGCTTCACTCATCAGCAGTGTTTTCCAGTCAATACACTTGTTCTGCTCCCCACTCTGTCTCTGGCGTATCCTCCCACCCCTGGCACTTCTGCCTATATATCAGTTCTTATACACAAAAATGACATTAAAAGTAATATAGGAGTAAGTTACTATACTTTCACAGCAAATATTTCAAATCAAAATACTGTAATTCTCAATTATAAATAAAGTGCAATCGTATGAGAGACTTATGGGTACCACTGACTAAATATGTACCAGATTTATCTATATTACAATATCTTCTCCTGAAGAAATTAGTCCTATTGCCCCAATTTTATACGAGAAGAATGAAGGTATTAGACATTAATCAACATGAATAAAGTCACACATTTGTGATTTAAACCCAAATTTGTCAGCCTCTAAAGTCTACGTTATTCATGGTGGAGTAGCTTGCAAATTGTTAAGGGTGTAAAGTGCTTCCCACACAGAGTACCTATCTTAACCTCTAAGTAATGTAGATCCACTAAACAGATGTAGGATTATTGGATATTTCATTGTACTAAAGTAAAAAATCATAAGAGAAAAACACAACAAAATATATACTTACTCATTCCTGAGCATTCTCTATCACCATCCCATACATTAGAAACAGCATGTCCCGTCAGCAGGAGGTTAATTAAACTTTGGCTATTAATAAAAATTAAGAAGTAATTAAAATAAGAATTTTCAAAGTAAATAATTCCTATGGTTAGGCATAAAGTAACAGTCATTTACATTAAATTATGTTGTTTAGAAAGGTATGAATAGCCTTCCTAAATGTATCATCACATGATATCCATTATTCTCTACCATCTTATAATTTAACAACTTTACCCAAGCTTTCACATGAAAAAAATACTTTAATATTTATAATTGTCTCTGAAAATACATATGTAATTACTATTTGTGTTTATTGGAAGATACGTAAATTTTAAATGAGGCAGAAAGATGTACAGAACTTAGAGTGGATTTAAAAATCACCGTTTTATAGGTTTTAGTTAGAAGAAATAACTATAAAGGTTTGAGAAAGGAGGGTAGGCAAAACTTCTTGAGCATTTACCAGTAAGGATATATTTACTTCTACATTAAAGTGAATAAATGTCATGTTAGAAAATTTCTTAAGTCAAGCAGAAATTTGTTGAAACATCCTGTTTTCAATCTTAAAACAACATATATGCCACGATAAAGGCAATGCATGGATAAACTTTAAGTGGAAGTCGACATTTCATACTTAGAACAAGCTATGCATAACTCAAATTCAGAGTTAATGATGTCAACAATTACAAGCAAAACTACCTGACTCCATGACTCGGTTATGTTTCATCTTAGGTTTGTTAAAATGAAAGCCTATAAAAAGACAATATATTTTAGTTAATTACCTGCCATGTCCATATACAGGATCAATCAAAGGTTCAGTTGAATCTTCAATTTCATTTTTTATGTTTTCGATGCCCTAAAGAAACCAAGAACTCATTGCTTATTTTTAAAACTAAAAATTAAATTGACTGTTTAAAAGCAGTCCAACACAAACACAGCAGGCCCTCAAATAATGTCACTTCATTCAATGTTTTTCGGCTATAATGTTGATGAAAAACAATTCCTGGCAGATTTCATGGTCTGTGTGAAGTTTGCAAATTCTCTTTAATGTGTGTGTAAGTGTTCTCTGGATAATCCAGTTTCCTACTATCCCAAAGATGTGCATATGAGGTCATAGTCTGGGTATGGATGTGAGTATGCCCTGTAGTGTCCTGTCCAGAGCTGGGTTCTATTTTATGTGCTAAGCTGCAAGTATAGGCTCTGGCTACCTGTACCCTGAACTGAAATAGGGAAGTTGGAAAATGAACTAATGAAATGAATGTTTGATGTTGGTAGTGTTTGGGGTCTTTAAACTACTGATGACAATTTTGTGATCAAAATATGCTACTGGACCTTAACTCTTCTTTAGTCTGTGGCAAAACAGGTTTTGTTATATGTTTGTTTGAAAGCTGCAGTTTCCATAAAGCTGCTGATGATGTTAAATGAGAACTTACTGTATTTATGTAGCTATTCTAACAAAGAATCTCCCAGATTTGAAGTAGAGGTGTACTTAAGATGTTAACAGTAATTAGTAAACCCTCCAAGAATATTTTTTCTTTCTTGGGTTCCATATAAAGTACCCAGTTGACTCATGGGTAATGGAGCTAATGCTGATATCTTGGTTAAGGGGGTATAAAAAGATAACATTTCTATTTCAAGAGAAGGAAGGAGAAAACTTTTATCCAAAGTTACTAGTCATTTCACTTTACACTAACAAATTCAAGTCTAATGCACCTGATAAAGCATCTCATGTTATTTAAAACATACTGAAAATTAACACGAGTACCGACAGAAGTATAAATTTAAATGCACAAAAGTTATAGCTAGCTAGTATATTTTCCATCAGAAAACAGAAACGATACTTCTAATTGTGCATCATTCTTACAAACACTGGTAACTTGAATGTGTACTGACAAAAAATGTAAATGTGGAGGACAAGAAGAAACCATTTTCTTTGATAACTTTAAATACCTCCAAAGGATATCTAAATCCCAAAGAAGACCCAAACATTTAAACCGCATCACTGACAAAGAAAAGTGTCATTCATTGTGCTATGCATATCATTTTAAACATTGGTTCTATCAGATGATAGGCCATTTCTAAGAATTAAAATCATTAACCAAAAATCAAAACACTGGCAGCTCTTTTTGTCTTGTGTTTGTGCAAACAAGAAGAAAGTCTTTTTTTTTCCTAACAAACCTACCGTGTTGGGCATACTATCTATCTATCTAATCTATCTAATCTATCTATCTATACACACACACACATATATATACATATATATATATATATATATCACACTATATACATATATATATATTTTAATGACTGAATATTTTAGGAAGATACAAACAAGTATGAAGTCTTGTGTTTATTTTCCTTGTAAACAAAACAAATCAAACCATGATTAAGTTAAAATGAGTATGACCAAGTGACATAATAATTGGAGGATATTATTTCAAAGACCAGCTCAAGAAAGAATGACCAGACATGATTTATTGCTTTGTGAAAGGCCAACAGAGGAGTTATCAGTTATTTTGAGAATGAAAACTGGGGGAATAATTTACAGGAAAGGCAAACTCATAAGAAATCGGTTGTTTCAAATACCATCACTTCTGTCCACCACATTTAACTATCAGACTCTTGGTTCTTTTTCATGAAATGCCCCTAAATGTTTTTACATTCTTAAACATAAAACATGTTTCTAAATATGCTTTTTCTTTTCCATTTCCAAGGTCCCTGCCCTAGTTTAGGTTCACCTATTTCAATAATCACATTTCTAGTCCTCCTGATTCTAGACTTATATTCCACATACCAACACCCTCTGGCCTAATGCTTCCAATTTACAGAATCCATCAGCAACAGAGACATCTTGTTACACTTCCTTATTCAAAACTTGTTTGGCTCTAATTTCAGTCAGATTAAATCTAACGTATTTTTACACAACATACAAAGGCATTTATATTATGAACCTTCTTTACGTAATTTATACTCTACTCCTAATTTCATCAACAAACTTGGACATAAATTCTCCTACTTTTCCACTATGCTTTATACATTAACCATTGCTAAAATGAAGTATTATTGACGTTTTTTGCAACACCAAAGGAACCATTACAACAAAATTGGTATCCTATGTTATTATTCTATTCCCTAGCATAAAGTCAATGTTCAATAAACATTTGTTAAATGAAAGAAGTTTAATTTCAGACATGATGAATCTAGTAGGTTACTCAGCTGAAACAGGTTGCTAGAGATATGAGGTAGGCACATGGGGGAAAAGGGTAAGATTAAACTTATACAAATTAAAAACATAAAAGGTAAACTGAGAGTATAAAATACCCATAAAAAGCATAAAGCACCCAGGGACTGAAATTTCTGGAAAATAAAAGCTTGGGGGGAGGGGGGAGAAAGGAGAAGAAAGAACACAACAGATAAGGACAGAAGTAAAGTTACCGGAATAAATGAAAAAAGAATTGTGACATGTTACAGAAAAAAAAAAAAAAATAAGAAAAGTACAATGATTCATCAGAAAAGGGAGTGAGGGTAAAAGGAACTTACAGAAGGGGATAAAAGGTCAAGTGCCAGATATCACTCAGATCAAAGAAAATAAAATTTTCTTTGAAAATAAAAAACGGAGTGTTCTTCTGTTCATTAGACCATTACTGATAACCTCTGCAGCCCAGAGCATCCGGTGTCAAAGTAAATTTGAAAATGGTTAACAAACAAGTGGTGAGGAAAAAGAGTTTGCTTCCTTATTATCAACATGTGAGATTTACATTTGACAGTAAGAAATAACACCAAGAATAAAATTACTCATAGCAGGAAAAACAGCACTAAATTCAAACTAATAAAAGCGAGAAGAAGCATCTTCTTAAACAAACCTTTGTCAGTAACACAGAATAGAGAAAAAGCAATACTCCAAATTTGTTTCCCCACATTGAATACTGATCCAAGACAGCATCTTTTAATTCTGATAAACTTCTGAATGACTTTTTTCTGGGGGGGGAAAAGAATTAAGGATTAGTACCATGATGAGATTACTGCATTTATAAATGGGGAAAATTTATGTTGTATTATTACACATTTTGATGTGTGTGTGTATGTGTATGTAGGAGGTTTTTTTGAGTGTTTCTCAATTTTTCAAATACAAATTTAGCCATTAAAAGCAAAAGCTATTGCTGGCAGCTGTGACTATAAAATATGTAAACCATTAAGATAGAACGTTTACTTGGCAGGGAACCTTTCTCAGGTAAACTATCTGGCATCAAATTCTTCAATAATTATAAATTCTTCAATAATTACACTGTTACTTAAAGAACAAAATGGCTCTATTCTAACTGAAGTTTACAAAGACACAATTTTACATTTAAAGTTGAACTTAATAAGTGTGAGGATACAAAAGATAAAGTGCACATTTGTGGCTTTTAAATTATTACTATAATGCTGTGATTTCAAATGCCACCTATAAATCTATCAACACAACTATTCTTTAGTTTTTGTTTTGTAGTAACAAGTTTATATGCTCTAATGAAATTGTACTTTTAATTAAAATTATAGAAAGCAAATTTGGGCAAATAAGAAATAATAATTCAAATATATATCCTAGTAGAAATCTTTATATTCACTTAGGACATAAAACATTAAGCTAAAATGATTTTTCTTGTAATGATGAAAAGCTTTTAAAGTCCACAAAATATACTTTGATAGTGAATTTAGAAATGAAGAATACAAAGTTTCTTTTTTGTTTGTTTTTACATTTTAAAGCAAATTAACTTCAAGCATATAAACCTAAGTACCTTTTCACAATATGTATAGACTTAAAATGGCAATGTGTCCACAAGGTAAGTATTTTAAATGTTCCAATGTTACTTACTGAATTAATGCATGAAATCGCTCAAAGCCAAGCTCTTCCACAGCCAAGGCAGCTATACATAAAAGACACTTTTCAGCACTACACATGGCAAATAAATGACACAAGATACACACAGCAGGCTGTAAATACTTTCAAGCAATCAAAATTGTCCCTATTTCCTTACTTCCTTAAAATTCCTTTTTAACGTTACTTTAACATAAATTTATATTTCAAGATCTTAGTTACCATGATTATAACTAAAATGGATATAAATCTGAGACTGTAAAGGGGCAATTAAATAATAGCTCTTTTCATTCAGTTACTAAAGAATAATTTATAGAATAAGAAAAATTGACATTTATAGTGCTTCACACATCATTATAATGTGTCATGCACTTTTAAATAATCTTTCAACTCACAGATCCAATCTGTGTAAATCTAATCCTTCTTTATAATAAAAAAATCTTTAGATTTAATGTTTAATGATTAAACAAATGTGTATAAAAAGGCATAGCATTTTGAAACTACACAGGTTCAACAGCAGCTTTAAGTTTGTTTCCTCATTTCTTCAGGTAACTTTCAGAACTTTGCTAATACATGACAAACTTTTCTTTTTTAATGCAAAAAGCATTTAAATTGAAGGTGTGATCTTAATCAGCATTTACTGTAAAAATTGCCAGGCCCCTTTCTAATTGTTCTGTGTGTCTTCTCAGAACAACAATCCTTCTCTCCCCATTTTACAGTAGAATAAACTGGGGTACAGTAAAGAATCCTCCCAAGAACACAGGAAATAAACAGCAGAGCTGAGATCTCAACCCAAATAATCTTGACTACACCAAGATAGTCTTCAAGATACCATACATGAATCAAAATTCCTCCTGAAATTTGTCACATGGGACAACTTCATATATTTTTGTATGTATTTTGTATATATAAATGTAAGCACTTTCAAATATTCTCACTGGAGAACTAAACAAAATGATTATGAATTTTAAAATAAATATTTATAATTAAAAATGCCACATTATGCTATTTTTCCAAAGTCTGGTTTTAATTTTCAAATGCTTCAAATTATTTTCTAAATTCTCTTGTTCAAATGATTTTAAACAATCTTTTGATTTGTGTGGGAAACAAACTGAAATTGAACCTGAGTAATCACTACTGCAGACAATCATGCGCTACCAATAAGCCAAAACCATAAACACCACACAAGGCAATGAAATTAATGTTTGTACAGAATGTAACAGTGATGGGGAGGAAGATAAATCTCTGCATTTAAAATTTCAGGAAAAAGTAAAATTTCCACCTAACCTTTTCCAAATAGTACTAATTATTCCACAGTGCTTGAATAGCTAAACAATTTTACAATGTATAAAGAGTAGACATAAAGATAGTAATTTAGAGGAAAAAGGCAAGCAAAATAAAAAGCTTAGCAGGCAGATGGTAGAAAAATATAAAATACAAGAAAAAAAAACACAGCTGGGAATAAAGGAAAGAACAGGTAAAATAGATTGTTATAGGGTGGAAAAAATTTAATCTAAGTCATTTTTCAACAATCTAAGGAAAATTTTCAAATTTTCTGTTAACAAAACTTTCCAAATTTATACACTTAAAAAAAGAATTGAAATATTTCATTATTTTAATAATTGAAAAATTATTAAAACATGTTTTGGAGAATTCAATAAAAGTCCACTTAAATCAGCTGCTGAAGTTACCAATTAGTGCATTATGAGGCCATTAAACCAGAGCAATTTAACTTATAATTACAGATATATACTGCATATTCATATCAGCACACAGCATACTATCTTTACACTAATGAAAAACACTCATAAAAATACAAAAACGATTTTACTGTCTTACAAAGAATAAGTTTTCAGCACATATTTTTAAAAGTACTTATTTAGTTCAACTATTCCTCTCTCAAAATATTAATATTTTAAATGAAACTAATGAACATGCTTAAAATATTCTAAATCCATTATGAAATACATGTTTATTATACTTCTTTTGAATACGTTCCCCTTGTTTTCTTCAATCTTCATTATCAACTCTATGTTAAATGTTTTTTAAAAGGCTACATTTGAAAGGCCTGAAAAGGAAACTTTATTCAAATGCTTGGATTAAAAAATTTTCCTTGCAAATTTGTGACTACTAGAATTTGCCATTGTTACTGTTGAGGTAGGAGCAAGAAGACAGTGAATCAGACATGTTAGCCCTCAGAGGCAACGATGCCTCACAGCTAGTCCGATATGAAAAGTCAGTGTATATCACAAGCAACTGAAATCTACTTTCTAGAAATCAATTTAAAAACAATTTCTGTACAGAAGACGGTTAATAGAATATACTATAGGTAAACTAAGTATACCTCTATTACTCCGCATAAAGTACTTAGAACTACCATTATCAACAACCACAAGGTAATTCCTAAAATGGAAAAACAGAAAAGCAATTTTGAGGGGGAATGCACTTTTTAAAAAAAAAAAAAAGATTTTTATTTATTTATGCACACAAGAACTGAGTGTAAGCCAGAGGTGCCAAGTGGTGGTGGGAGGGGAGAGGATTCATCAGAAAGAGTGGGGAGCAGAACAGAGTGGGGAGCTGAGGGGAACAGTGGGGGAGAGAGGAGAGGTCTGCTGCATCAATATGGGTCACCTCCCTGGCTGGGAAATGAACTCAGGCCTTGGTGGCTGGCAACAGCTTGAGAACACTGAGACTTTAATTCCTTTGCTACCAAGGAGGCCCCATACTCTTTGTTAGATTACATTTAATTAGGAAATTTTATTATTTTTTAATATTTTCATGTAGTTTATATATATGTGTATATATATATCTATCTATCATTGTTCACTTTTGTACAATGTTTGCTTTCTCTTCTCAAGTATAATCTCCATAGAATTCCTACCACTAATTCACCTGTGCACCATGTTTTGTTTTTAATCCCAAACTTCTCCTTTACAGATTGGTTCCCACTCTTTTTGGTTGCTGGTATCATAAAATAACATTTTTATACAATGTATTTCCAAGAGCTTAATAATTCTTAATTGTATTAATTTCTAAAATTTGGTAGAAAACAAAATTTAGAGTTACAAGCTGAAATTACAGTACTAGCTTTCAGACTAATAATTTTTTTAAAAACATCTTTTAAATTATGTACTAAATAAAAATAAAGAGTTACAAACCACTGGTACAATAATACCAATTTCTGTAATTACCCAAAGCAACTCTTTAGCTGCTGTATCACCAGAACTTTCCATTTTATGAGCTCAATCTGGCAGCTTTTAGGTGAATTATCAAAGAATTTTTAAAGGCTAAAGAGAGAATGTGTAGTTTTTATGAAGTCAATTTGTTTTAAAGAGAAATATTCAAAGTTTGAAGAAATTAAATGAAGGCATAATTAAAATTGCCTTTAAAAAGCTCATAGGGAAAAGAAACAGCATATAAGGAATAACAATGTCCCGATCTTTGCTTAAGGAGAAAACAAAGAATATTTAAAATATTCTATCAAAGAACTCCTTTTTCTACTAACAAAGAAAACATTGGTATATATGAAATTACAAGTGTAGAAAAATGTTCTTTAAACTTTATGAGCGCTTCAAAATTAAGCAGAAGTTAACCAGAACTTTTGAGATGCATTTCGTTTTCCCCAAAAGAAAAAAAATAAATATCCTCTAGTAATTAAAATAATCAAAGGAGAAATTAAAAGTAGTAAAGCTCATGAATTAACCTCAGACTTAAGAGAGACATGGTAATGAAAATTAAAGATTTTTTCTTTAGAATTTTTAAGTTTATTAAAATAAAGTACAAAAAATAGCTTCAGGAAATAAAAATGTATCTTACAAGAATGTTCCACTTGGCAGCTAGACTCTGCAGGACTCCCAGAAATACTAGCAGTTTCTTCAGTTGTCTTTCCTCTTAACCATGAAACCAAGCAGTATGATCCAGAGTTGTCACAACAAGCACTTTCTAAAATATCACATAAGGTATGACAAAGGAGCTCCTTCCGCTCTTCCTCTAAAAATAATCAAAGTATAAGTTACATTGGAATAAAAAAAAAAATCCTGCCATGAACATTAGGGAAGTGCTAATGAGAGTCAAGTTTTTTAATTAAATGGGGGCAGGAAAGCAATAACCCATAAAAATAAGGTCTTAAATTATATTTTAGAAAAGCAATATGCTTAAGGGTTAAAATGTCACCACTATTAAATTGCCAGCATTAGGGGAAATATCCTGAAAAATGCAGAATTAAAAGTAAGAATAACCTGATACCAATTTCTCAGTTCTTGAACTGCAAACAGAGCATCTAAATCTTGATGTTTGTTTCCTTTATTGTAGAATCAGGTACAATCTAAGGCCCAATTGAAAAATCTATTTTTTCCCTATTTCTAAATTAATACATGTCTCTGATCTTGTCCTTTGGGGTAAGGGCATAGAGAGAACACACTTTTAGCACATCAGCACATACAGTACCAAAATTCTTTACATCCAACAGAGGCCACTGTGATTGTGCAGCATAATACAGAAGCAGTAGATACTGTACCCCAGAGACTGGGTCATTAGACTTTAAAATAACGCCAATGCTAGACAATTTCTTCCTTCCTAAGCACTCTTCCTTTTTCAAGTAGTAGTATCCTCCAGGTGCAGTAACGCTTCCTGAAACTTTCAGACAAAAGGAGCTAGATGTGTACACTGCCTATGTAAAAAGGGGAGGACTGTTTCTTCTTATAGGCTGAGTTCTTTAAAGATAGGAACTGTGTGCCATTCACTTTATAAGCACCACTAAATTCATGACATTTACAACAATAGTGTCTAAATTTCATCAAGATAAATATATTTTTTGTGCAAGAAATATTTAAAATTTTATTAGTATTATCTCTTGCATAGAACTGCTTTCCTAGTAACTGACATTTCAGTTGTTTTTTTTTTTTAAACATGATCTTCATTTTGTGCATTTTTCCCCATCTCAGTTGTAATCCCCATGGGCTTCCCACCCCCACCTCACCCTTGTGCCATCACCACAGACAAATGTAGTACAATAAAATTGAACAACTATAAACCAAAGCCATTTTATGGAGGTGGAAGGGAGATTGGGATCAGAACTGGGTGGGAAGAGAGCACTGGACTGTGGTGAAGGCACATTTCAACTCTTAACACAAAATATATATAACAATTACATTTTATCTCTGAAAATAAAAAAATCAATAGTAGATTCTATGGGCTTGATTAGGAGTGGAACCTATTTTGCCCTCTTATACAAAACTGGGATTATAGTAACAGCCTACTTTTTTCTAGAAGTTATTGTGAGATTCACAAGAAAACTGTTTAAGGGAAAGAAAGATCTTTGCAAGCTCTCAACTGGAATGTACATATTCCTTATTAGGTGGTATCATACACTATTCTAACTGTACTGCAGAAATTATAACAGCTTCTTTTGCAGTTTTGATGGTTTGCAGTATTATTTGTATTGTATAAGGCAAAATACCAAAAGAAAAAATAAAGATAACTCTGAGTTCTTGCTCAGAGAGGAATAAGACAAAACAAACATAACATGACTATTCCTTTTGTTGTGCAATCATTTAATAGTTCATGGAAATGTCCCACATTTTAGCAAGAGGTCAAAGGTTTTCCCCTGAGTTATATCTTCTTAATTACATCTTGTTAGTTAGGAAAAGCATATTAGGAGTAGTCACTGTCCATGAAAACTTTCTCAAACATTTTAAAAATATGCCTTATGAAAAATGTACCCCAATGGTAGTTTACTTTTTAAGATAGATAATCTCAATTAAACTATTGCCAGTATTACATTGATCATAAGAAAGAAAAAATTTATAAAAGATAGCTATCATACCTGGGCAATCCCTCCAAGAAGACTTCTCAGAAGAAAACAGGAGCTTCTTCAAAAGAAATGCCTTTATACAGTTAAAGCATAATTATTAGAATACATTATGAACATACCTAATATACCATTATTTTAAAGTGCAAGAAAACTAATGTGTACTTTCCTGTTCTTTTCAATAGTTTACTACAAAAATATCGAATGATTTCCATTCACATTCAACAGTAACTGAATAATTTTTCACTCAGAATATACTAAACTTGATTTTTAGATCCATAAAATTTGTCTTCTTCCTTAAGATGTATTTTCTAGAAAGTTAAAGAATTGATTCAAAATAACAGACAACTAACTAGAAAATTAAACTTACTGCTCTGTTTAGTAAGCCACTTCATTGGAACAAGTCTACATTTCCCTTAAATTCCATGAAGAAAAGAAATTTGAACACAAAAATCCTCTCTGTATGCTCTAATTTGTGATACAGGAATACTACTATGATTCACTACCCCTAACCTCCTTATGTAACTCAAAAAGCTTTAAGAATCAAATAAATTGATGCCTAACCTTTTCTTCAGTTAGTCAACTGTGTTATACTGGTGATTTGAGAGAAAGTGGTTCAGTGAGTGTAACACAGTGTTTCCTTCTCAAAGTAGAGTTTAAGGCTAGCTGCAGCTTAGTCACCTGACCTGTAAAATGCAGTCTTAGGTTCCACTTAATGTATCTGAATCTCCGGGGTTGGGGGGGGGGGGAGAGAGGCACAGAGCTAAGAAAAAGAGAATACTATAGTGCTTCTTACTCCCATATACTTGAAAGCAGTACTGAAAACTGCAATTAGGAAGACAAATCTAGATTTGAATCTTGGTTGTACTACTTTACTAACTGAAAATAGTATTAACGGTAACACAAACTTTAAAAAGCTGCAGTAAGGATTATAAGATTATTTATGTAATGCGCTTAGACACTACCTGAACCTAATAAGCAAGCATTTCAAAGCATATTAACAAAAACTAAGTAATATCCTATAACACTCTCATATAAAAAATTCAACCAAATGCTTCTTTCTACAATGACAAAATTTTGGATAAGTGAGGTGGAACAGCCAATATTTTACCACCACAACAATCAGTGGCAGCATTTTTTATATTCTTCCTTCTAGTCTTTCTTCCATACTTGCTTTAAATTTGACTACATATGAAACATGCTGGGGATTATTTTCCAATTTTTCTGTTTTCCCACAGAATTCATATCTATAATTCTTAATGACTCGTTTTCTATCAAGCTATCAAAATTTACTTAAACATTGTATCATTTTTAATTATTAGGTTGTATGCAGTTTTTTTTTTGACTACCAAAGTATTTAAATTTCTCAAATATAATCTTTCCCCACATTAAGAATTCTTTTGTTTTAGTAAAGTCATAAAAGTACAATTACTGCACCAATCTGCTTTATTATAGTTCCAATTGTAATGTAAAATTCCTTCTTAAAGTTCAAAATAGAACTTGTATAAAAAAAGGAGCTGAGTGTTATAGCATCATCCTATCTTTCTATCACTGCCAATTTATTTCATATTTAAAGATTAGAAAGTTATTGAAAGAGTATAGTTACAGTTTTATCTGTATTTGTACTTTCTTGGATTCCTAGTGATACTGAACACCTTGGCTCTGGTTCCAGCACCAATCCAACGAGTTACTGCATACACATAACCATTTCAGATGAGATCGGTGCATTCAGGGTGGTATGGCCATACACTACATAATCATTTCACCACTCGGGTTATAATGTTTTTCTAACATTTTATAGGCGTTCTTTGTACAACAAGCAATATTCATTTACTGTTCACTGCAAAATATTGTTTTGAACTTGGAAGTCATCTTTTCTCTTAAAGGATTGACACATACATTTAATTTTTGTGTGGTTAAATATAATGTGGTACATGGGATAAGATGACCTAAGTTCATTTTCCCTCTAAGTAGCCAATCAGTCATACAATGGTATTAAACATCATCTTATTCTACATCTACTCAATGTTTTAATTTGGGTAAGTAATAAATTCTTGGTAAGCTGTTGTATGTTATGTGCTCTACTAATTTATCTATTTGGTTACATATGCCTATTTCTGTAATAAAAGCATAATGTTCTAATTTTTATTGCTTAAAAATGTTTTAATACATAGATTTGCTCATTTTCCTACATTACTTATAATGACTTATTCTTGACTTAAATTAAAACATTACTATCATCAAAAGTTTCTTGAAAAATTTTAAGTGAATATTAAAATCAATCACTACTTCAAAAAATTAGTATAATCTCTTGTTATGTAGCAATCCTATTTGCAAAAATAACTACCTCTGGAAATATACTGAATTTTATCAATCAGGAAAACTCTTGGGCTAATAAGCTTTATACATAACTACATTCAAAGACTTTCAAAAAAAATTATTGGATACTATTATAACACAGGAGGGGCAATGTTAATATAACCTAATTTTCACATGGCCAGTACAAGGAATTTCAAATTCGAACAACAAGATTATCACTGACAATCAAAATCTGCCTCAATTACACAGCATAACAGCTCTAATTATGGACTTAAAATTAAATTTTAATCATTATTGTCAATTCCTGTAGACAAGACTCAAATGAAAGAATTATATTTTTATAGTTTATCATAAAAATTAGAATTATCAACAAAAAATGTATTTCAGAATCACCCATAAAAGGAAGGTTTTTCTCCTTCAGAAATACATGTTATGAATTTAATAATGTAATTATATGAGTAATGAGATTATCTGAACTTTGCTTTAAGCTAACAGTTCAGGAATGTACTCTTTATGCCCAATGTATAATAAATACCACATTAAATATGTATTTTGAAAAGGTGCTGATTAAAACAAATAAAAATTCCAGCTTCTTTTGTAATAATCCAGAAGTTACACTGCTGTTCAGACACTGTAATATAGTTAAGTGAAAATTTAATTATTGATTTTTAACAACATAACAATTTGCCACAAATCAGTCATGGAAATTCAAACAATGTACTACATGAACATATCGTTTGGGCAAAGAAAAGTTTTACGTTGGAAATTCATCTTCAGTTGCTACTAATTTTATTTAAGACAAAAACTACAGCCTAAGATAGTATTTATTGTATCTTATTTTAAAAACTGATGAAACTGTATGTCATGAAATTATTAACTCACTTTTAACTTATAGGAAGGCCATTTCGTAGACATAACAAATGAAAAAAACATTATTATGATGTATGAATCTATAGTATAAAATGTTACTACTTAACAATATCTTATTAGAAAGATGTCATGATTATTAATTCATAATTTTCCGAAAGGCAGGAAACACATGTTTTCTTAATAATAAAGACAGTAAAAAGGCTCTGTAGCCCACCTATGTTCTGAATTTAATTTTTAATAGTTATAAAAATTAAACTAATCAAGTCTTATAGTTACATAGAATTCAGACATTAAAAAGAAAAAAAAATGAAAACAAAAAAATGCTTGAACATGTCCTTGTAATGAGTTGGTAAAGTGTCTATGTTACCTGAACAGGTGCAATAACAGCACAGGGGCCGCCTTCAAACTGTTCTAATGCAGATCCCTCTGATTCACTAAACACAAATCCTACAAATGAAAGCAAGTAGCAATGATTAAAACTGTAATTCAAGTAGCAACTGTAAGAATGTTCAAGGTACTTTGCTCTGAGAAAAGTCGTTTAGCACAATAGCAAAACTGCTGCAAATCAGTCAGTTGCGCAGTACTTTACTTTTAGAGGGACAAAATTATGTATTAGAAGGAAACTTAACAGAGGGAAGTATGGAGCTAAGATGGGAAGATTGCAAATGGGCAGAGAAGTGACGCAAGGTTAACACCAGGAAGGGCGAGACCATGGTTCAAGTCATAGGCATTTTATTCAAGTAAAAGTATGATCAAACTGCCCCTTCTTTTGTTAATGGGGTCAGAAGAATAAAGAGGCTGTTTTAACAGCTCTAGAGAGATGATATTGATCAAATATAAGCAACACCAGTATGAAAAGTAAAAATTATACCCAAATGGTGTTTCTATGGTGAAAATTAAGATTTGATGAGTACATGCTATGGGGCCAAAGTGTAGTACAAAAGACATTAAGAGCTGATTGTGAAGTTTCTATCTTGAGACAGCAGTAGAGATAACAGTGTACAGTATCTCATTCCACCCCCCTCTCCTCTCTATTAATCTCTTTCAGACAGTATTAAAAAGAAAAGCATACTTTTCACATACTTAAAAAGAAAAGCAAAAAGATCCTCGTAATATTTCACCAAGTTTTCTCTGGTCTTTACCCATATAAATAAACAGTGGTACATCCACATTGTGGCTTTATTTAGTTTTAAAAAGTAGTAAGTTGTCAAGCTACGAAAGAACATAGGGCCCTTTAAATGTGTATTATTATTATTATTAACTGAAAAGAGCCAATCTACAAAAGCTACAGAGATTCCAACTATAAGATAGTCTGGAAAAGGCAAAATTATAGAAAACTAAGGAAACAGTGGTTACCATGGGGTGGGGGATTGAATAGGTGGAAGATGGGATTTCCTAGGCAATGAAACTATTTTCTGTGAAACTATGATGGTGGCTATAGTTCATTATATATCTGTCAAAAACCACAGCACACACAACACAAAGAGTGAGGTATAATGTTAATTATGGTATCTAGAATCATCAATTGTAATAACTGTGCCACTTTGTGGGGGATAGTGATAACGGAAGAGGCTATAATGAGTGGAGGCAGGAGTTATATGTGTAATCTCTCTACCTTTCCCTGAACACTGCATCTAAAACTGCTCTACTAAAGAGCGGTATTTTTTTTTTTTTTAAGATTTATTTACTTATTCATATGGAACTGGGTACAGGCCAGAGATGCGGAGGATGAGAGGATTCACCAGAGACAGAGTGGGGAGCAAAACAGGCAGAGTGATGAAGTACACTGCTGAGGGGAGCAGCCAGAGGGCCAGGAGAGGTCTGCCTGGCCATGTGGATCTCCTCTGGGGCAGGCGGGAATCGAACCCATGTGGTAGTGGCTTTAGCTTCTTAGTGCTGTGCTTTAACCTGCTGCGCCACCAGGAAGGGCCCAAGAGCAGTATTTTTAAAGGCAGATTCCCTGTGGCTCAGGGGTAAAAGTGTCAGCACTATCATTCTATCAGCAGCCACTGTGTCACGAGTTCTATCCTCGGTCAGGAAGCTGACCCACATGGTGAAGCATACCTCTTCAGCCTTGCCTGCTGTTCCCCTTGCCTGCTGTTCCCCTCAGCAGTGTATTTCAGTAGCTCCACCTGTTCTGCTCCCCACTCTGTCTCTGGTGAATCTTCTCACTGCCAGCATTACTTGTACCTCAAGTGTACACACCAGTTCTTACATGCATAAGTAAATAAAAACAAATCTTTAAAAAAAGATACTGTGCATACTATAGCTTTTAACAGATGTACAGTGAGCTATATCCACCATCACAGTTTCATATAGAATAGTTTCACTGCTAAGGAAATCACATCTTTCACCCATTCAGTTCCCCTACTTCCAACCCCTGGCAGTAACCTATGACCTATCAATCTCACCTTCCCTTAAGTTCACTCTTATTTCTATCATCTATAATGACCTTAGGTCTTTAGACAAAACCAAGGTCTTCATCTGGGGCCTTGACAGTTGCTATTCTCGATGCATGAAATGTTCTCTGTATCCCCACCACCCTCCCTATGGCCGCATACTTCTCATTCTTAACAACAAGCTCACCTAAGTAAATCTTTCCTAGCATCCCTTGGCACAAAGAGTACTTATAATCTGTTGCAATTGTTTGCTAGTTTACTGCTTGCTTTGTCTTAGTGGTATCTTGCCTGTTCCACTGACCACTGTTGTCCTGGCATGCTAATATGTAATGAATGTCCCATAAATGCTTTTGGGGGGTAGGAGGAGGATTTGTTTCTAGGATACCACGTTCTGTTTTAGAAATGTGAGACAATTAGCAGTATTCAGAAGCAGAGAGATATGGGTTTGGAGTTTAGGATAGGGGTTAGGTCTAGAAACAGCAATTTGGATCATCTTAAACATAGCAGTTAAAGTGAATGTAGGACACAGATAATGAAGTTAGGAACTGTGACCACAGGCTTAGTCAGCAAAGGAGATGGCAAAGATTAGAAAACAGAAAAACACACTGAGGTACTAGAAAGGAAGCCAGGAATCAAGAGTGTCATGTGTTGCAAATGTTGCTGAGTAAAAAATATAAATGATGTAAAAATAAACTTATAAAACTAAAAAATATATATATATACACACACACACACATATATAAATGAATATAATGGGGTAAGCATGTCACTGGGACTATAAAACTATGTATTTAGAGCTTTGGGAAGAGAAGCCAAAATGTAAAGGGTTGAGGTTTGATTTAGAAATAGGATAATAAATGTAAGCCATTTGCCAAACAAATGAAGAGGAACAAAATTATTAATTGAAAGGTAGTCGGATAAAGAGTCATTACTTTTATAGGCTGAAAGGCATGAGTTTTAAAAAAGGGAAAGACTGGCCCTCCCTGGTGGCGCAGCGGGTTAAAGCACAGCACTGAGAATCTGAAGCCACTTCCGCATGAGTTCGATTCCCGCCTGCTGCCTGCCCCGGAGGAGACCACATGGCGAGCCAGACCTCTCCTGACCCGCCCGCTGCTCCCCTCAGCAGTGTACTTCGTCGATCTGCCTGTTCTGCTCCCCACTCTGTCTCTGGTGAAGCCTCTCACCGTCCCTGAGCCTCTGGCCTGTACCCCAGTTCTGTATGAATAAATAAATAAATCTTAAAAAAAAAAAAAAAGGGAAAGACTTGATTAGTGTGACAAACAAGTTTAAATATTCCAAATCCTGAAAGAGCTGAAAGCGTGATGTAGTGGTGGTGGTGGTGGTGATACAGTGAGTGGATAAAGCAAGATCCTCAAAATGTGGTCTGAAGAGGCCTGTTAGCCCTGAGAGCATTTCAGGAGCCCAATACATAGTAAAATAAATTTTATAATAGCACTAAGACATTATTTGCCTTCTCATTGTGTTGATATTCACAGTGATAGTTGGTTAAACTGACAGTGCATTAGAATATGTCAAGGCTATAACACCAAGCTGTACTAGGAGTCTTAATGCTAGTAGATGCCACCATAGTCTCAAATACACTTAGAAAAGCCAATTTAACCCAAAGTCCTTACTGATGCCTTAACAGCACTAATTTTATTGAAGCTTGGCCTTAGATACAATTCCTTTATTTTTTAAGATTTATTTATATACACAACAGCTGGGGTGTAAGCCAGAGGTAAAGAGGCTGGGGGATTGCATTGGCTCCCAGGCTGGGCATCTACTAGTGCTGCAGTGGCTGCCAATAGCTTACCAGTGCTGAGGCTTAACCCCTTGTGCACCAGAGAAGCCCCTTTTACAAAAATGCAACAAAATAGAAACTATCCATAAAGCACTTCTGCCTCATACCACAATATGATGGTTGACAGTTATTTAAAGGAAAAGCACACATGTAATTTTCTGAATTGTAAGCAGATTTTTTTTTTGCATGTGGAACACTTTGAAAGCTACTGATAAATTATGATAATATACACTTGAGTATTTGGGAGATATTTTCTCTAAAAAAGTGAGCCTGGGCCCTCCTTGGTGGTACAGCAGGTTAGGGCACAGCACTGCAAGCTTGCTGCTGCTGCTTCAGTGAGAGTTTGATTCCTGGCAAGGGAGGTGATCCACTGGCACAGCAGACCTCTCCCGACCTGCCCCCTGCTCCCCTTAGCAGTGTACTTTGTCAATCAAGCCTGTCTGCTCCCCACTCTGTCTCTGGTGAAGCCTCTTGCCGCCCCTGAGCCTCTAGCCTGTACCCCAGTTCTGTATAAACAAATAAATCTTTAAAAAAAAAAAAAGTGAGCCTGGTCTTTTTTTTACATTAAAAATTTTTTTTTTTAAGATTTATTTACTTATACATACAGAACTCAGAAGTTAGACAATGAAGTTATAAAATGTAAAATACCATGGATATCACTAAATTTTAAATTGTTCACATTAAAATCTTTAATAATCTTTAAAAGTGTAATTGTCCCTGATGTTTGGGGGGTGGGGGTGGTGGTGGTGGTGCAAAAACAAAGCCATGAAAGCCACTGTCTCAAATAAGTAAATCTCAGCAGGCTTCTATTTAATACATAGGCAAAGAGAAAATAAAAAGATGCTACTTATTCAGAGGGAGGGCATTAAGTAGGTTAGAGAACTGTGGAGATTCAATTCAAATTCTGAAAAATAAATTGACAACAGCAAGGAAAGAGAAACAATGAAAGCGCAGCTAAGGTTTAATTACTACATTTATATTGACACTGGCCATAATTTTTTTCAGCAAATTGAAGCAGAATAAATGTTGTAATAAATGGGGGATTAGAAATAGGTCAGATGAATGGGATTAAGGGCAATTGAGAACTAAGGGTACCAATTACATGTTAAGATAGCCACATCTGAGTTCCTACTTAGGAATAAGGTGAAGCCCAAGGTCTCTCCTCTATTTTATCCTCGACTAGGAATAAAAGTGTCCCCAAGTTCAAAGGCAAAACTAAGCTCTGTAAAACTTTAATCTTATGTAGT